CATACATATTTAAGCACCTTACATGCTTAAGTAAACCAAAGACATTCAGAAGAAGTCTCAAAATGACACCTGTGATGTGCAATCAAAATTCTGCCTGGTCTTTTGGCCTCCCACTTCCACTATCTTAATTTTTCTTAACTATACCCTGCAAACACACTTGCTCCCTTGGAGATCCTTCAGGAATAGGGCTTTACTAAAAGGGAATCTTCCTGCTCTTAAAAATGTTTTCTCTTCTTAAAAACTTCTAGTGTTGGAGCACCCACAACTTCTGGACACAAGTTATTCTACTGATTAATAGTTCTAACCATCAGGAAATTTCCCCTTAGTTCTAGGTTGCTTCTCTCCTTGATTAGTTTCCATCCATTGCTTCTTGTCCTGCCTTCAGGCACTTTGGAGAATAGCTTGACTCCCTCTTCTTTGTGGCAGTGTCTTAGATATTGGAACATCGCTATCATGTCACTCCCTACTCTTTCTTTTCATTAAACTAGACATACCCAATTCCAGCAACCATTCTTTATATATTTTAGCGTCCAGCCCACTAATCATCTTTGTTGCTCTTCTCTGCACTCTTTCTAGAGTCTCAACATTTTTTTTTTACATCATGGCGATCAAAACTGGATGCAATATTCCAAGTGTGGCCTTACCAAGGCATTATAAAGTGGTACGAACACTTCACCTGATCTTGATCCTATCCCTCTGTTAATGCAACCTAGGATTATGTTGACTTTTTTTTTGGCAGCGTTGGCTTTTTTTTTTTTTTAAGAAGCTAAGTTCTCTCGCTATGGTTTTGGCCACTTTTGATGTTCCTGTTCTGCTCTTCTGTTTTCATTCACATCAGTTTCAACTTCTGAAAAGAATACTACCATTTCTGGTCACTGGCATATTCAAACTATTGCTTAATGAAACCCATGTATTATCAGAGGAATACTAGGCCCATTTCTGGAATGAAGTGAAATTGCAGCTGACAGGGGGGTTGAATACATTTGTAAGAATAACATGGCCTTGCTTGTTTCATTTACCATATTTTCCCCGTGAATGAAATGCGTTAATAAACAGAGCATTGCAGCTCATCTTAGCTGAACAGGGAAAAGGCTGTACTTCAAGCTTCTGTAGGTCACATCCAGCTTCATTCAGCCACTGCCTGGCTAAAAATACTGACAAGCAGCTAATCAACTTCCCAAAAAGTGGAGTTCACAATGGGAAGCCAGATCTAGAGGAAGGAGCTAGAAGAAACAATTACCCCCAGGTTTCAAATGAATTTAACCTATTTTAAACAAATAGCGTGAGGATAGAATTGGCTTTAAAAAGCCACATACAATCACATAGCCCTACAAATGGCATGGAGGGATATAGAGACTGTTCCTAAAGGTGAAGCAAGCATGTAAGCAAGGTGGAGAAAGGCAGGAATGAACCAAGTCGTTAAGGAAACAAAGGAAAAAAATGTCACCGGAATCAGATAAAAGAAGTTGAGCCTGAGCACATGGGAAGCCCCTCCCCTCAACCAGAACAAAGCAATGACTTTGGGGGATAAAAGCCCCCCACTCTTTGTGTCATTTTTGGATCCAGACTTGGCAGCTTCTGTCCCTCTGGCTAGTACCTGCCAGCCTAGTTGAGGACATTGGGTAAATGTGGACAACAGAGTCTCTCTCTCTCTCTCTCTCTCTCTCTCTCTCTCTCTCTCTCTCTCTCTCTTTTTTTTTTTTTTCTCCCTCCCTCCCTCCTGCTCTCTCTGTATTGTGTGAAAAAGCACACAGATATACATTAACCAGTAAAGTTTGCTGTTGTTTTAAATTCACTGGGTCCCTGTGTATTCCAAAGAACCATTTGTGCCTCAGTGTTCAGTTGAAAGTGATATTAGTGTGGCCATTTTCCAGGGCTGTGTGTGTATGTGTGAGTGAGTGACTATAAGCTAAACCTGAGAGCACACGGGTGTAACAGGAGCACACTCATTTGTTGTACGCTGGTCATCTTGCATTCCCAATGGGTACAAGTGAACATACTCCTTATTTGTCTAGTTATTGCACATGAAAGGTCAAACCATTTTTTTTAATTAAAAGGCAGGTCCGATGGCAAGAACTGTTGGCATATTAAATGTAAGCAGCCCAGAGCTGCCTTGAAGCGAGATGGGCGGCAAACAAATCTAATTAATAAGTCAAATATTTCTATTTGCACCATGAACCACTGGGAATCGTTGATTTATAAATATAGCTTCTGCATGTTTAGGAAGTTCATGAAAACATGCTTATACTGAAAGCAAATCACATGATGGGCATACAAGTAATAATCATTCTTTATATCATGCTGAAAATTTTAAAAAATATATATACACCCAATAAAAGAGAATATGTGTAGCTCAGGTTAGAACCATGCAGTCTTAGATGCTCTTTGCACTTAGTTGTTTTCTTGAAGTTGTTTCATTACCTATCTAGGTAACATCATCAGTGCTAGTGAGTGTGCTCCCTAGTTATATACAGTACATTAGCACTGATGATTATCTATCTAGTCAGGTAATTAAATATATGCAAGCTAACAACCAAGTTTAGAGAGCACCTGGGACTGACATACTTATATGCAATTATGCATATACAAAGTTGCATATTTTCAATATTTTGACTTTACCATTTGTTTATTGCAAACAACAGATTATAATGCAACATATATTTCATGGTTCGTAGGAAAATGTAGCAGGAGGACCAGTGATCGTTTGAGTTTCCCAAATGTATGGTCAAAACATAATTTTTTCATTATGCTAAAACATATTTATATTGGATCTAATTGGAACCTGAAATGAAGTCTCTCAAGAAATTTTAGGATTATAGGCTTACCTAATAAGTAAAAAAAATAATCCCGAGAAAGGATTACCAATCAGTTTCTGTTTGTTGCCAAAAAAGAAAAATGGAAAAAGGAGAAAGGAGAAAGGAAAACAGAAAAAGGAAAAAGGAAAAAGGAAAAAAAAGAAAGAAAGAAAAAAAGAAAAAAAGAAGAAAAAGAAAAAAAGAAAGAAAAAAGAAAATAGAAAAAAAGAAAAAGGAAGGAAGGAAGGAAGGAAGGAAGGAAGGAAGGAAGGAAGAAAGGAAAAAGAAAAAGAATGGGTCAGTGTAGCCATCAAAAGTCAGCTTTGATTGCATCTAATGGCTTTCTTATACAGTAGAGCAGGAGTGGGGAACCATGTGGACTTCAACTCCCAGAATGCAGACTTCATGGCTCAGGAATTCTGGGAGTTGGAGTCCACAAGACATAAAGGTGCCATGGTTCCCCACTTCTCCAGTAGGTGTTGAGAACAAACAGAACTTGCAGCTCTCCAAACAACTGTAGGAATAGCAGATTTGAGACCCCAAAATGATAGAGCTGAAAAGTGGAAGAAGATCGTTCAGCTGCACCAAGTTCTTTTTTTGCTATGAACCGCGAGCATTTGTAGTTCTTTTCCCTTATATTATCGACAGCTGGGATAACTCTACTTACTCCATCACTTGCCATGGACTCAATATATATTAAACCAGTAGGAAACCTATTGCTGTTTAGATGTTGCTGAACTACTGGCATCCGTCACCATTAGCTATGCCACCTGGGGCTCCGAGAGATGGTTAAGTTCTTTTTTGCTCTTTGGGAAAAAAGAAAATTTGTAAGAGCTGACTTCTAGAGGGTGAACATCTGCACTGTATTTTAAGCACCCTCCCTGAACCTATGGCAGATTGAGGATGTGAATGTTCAGATGTAATTTATGTGATCGAGTCTGCTCATACCTTGGGGGATTAAACCAACCATTTTGTGGGGTTTTTGTTTGTTTTTTTTTGTTTCTGAACGTCAGGCACTTTGCAAGGCAACGGCTAATCAGTACAGAGCAGGTAATGACTGCATTCATTTTAACCCTGGAAACGACTCGCTCAACATTATTTCTTGACAAGGCTGCAAATGATCCATCCTCATTTTCTCCAATTATTTCCTGAAATTTCTTGCAATTATGCTGCAATTTTATTCTAGAGGACAACTTGACAAAATGTGCACTCCCCTTATCGGCTTTTTGTTTTAGTCGATACTTGCTTTCAAACAGAAAAAGCTTCATGAATGTGGTATTCTGTTGTACATTTTGCTACAGTTCCTGGCATCAGATATATCTATTTTTTTTCCTCTCCTTACGGTTTAAACTTTCCTATGCTGTATTTTATAAATGTTTTGGTGGGTGAGAAATGCTCACGCTGAATAGTTTGTCATTTCCAAGGGGGGGGGGGTGATAAGTGTTGCTGAAGATGTGGTATGATTTACAAACTCACTAATTTGATGAAGGGCATTTTGACCAGTGACAAAATGTTTCACTCACATGTGCATCTAATGATAGCCACAGTCCATCAGGAGTGCATGAATGAATATGGTTGTGAGAGAAGACAAATGGGTTATAAACTAGCAACCGGTTTGTTGTGCTTCTTATCTGGGTTTATCATGGCAAAACCTGATTTCACTGTTTGCAAATTATGCCACATTAACACCTGAGTAAATCTTTGTGCTTCAAAGTATAGGTCAGAGATCCCCAACCTTTTGGGCACCAGGGACCGGTTCCGTGGAGAAAGGTTTTTCCGGGGGCCAGAGAGTGTGTAACCTCTCTGTGTGTGCTGCCTGCATCCCATGGATGGGGCTTTGCTTGTTTGTGCGGACCGGTTGCTGGCATGCCGCGGCCCGGTACCGGTCCACAGACTGGGGGTTGGGGACCCCTGGTATATGTTACGGTTCTATTATTTCACTGCTTTTTGCGCTCTTGTTATATTATTTGTATTTTCAGTTTTTTACAACCGTCTATCAATGCATTCGTATTCATCGGTGACTACTGAATGGCACATCCTTGGAAAGCATAAACGGTCTGTTCACGGAATAGGACAAGTTTTGTCTTGAGTCCAACTTGGAAGTCTTACTGTTTCTTTCTAAAGATAATCCACTAACAAGCATTGGGAAATGTAATCTCCATTGAACTTACACAGAGGTATAGAGTATTCTGGCATTCCACTCACCCTAACAAGCTGCTGTGGGAAGGGTCCTCTCGAATTTTCTGGCACGTTGATTGGCGGGATGACCCAATCTCGCTTTTGACGTCTGAGTCCATAAGAATTTGGGTGATGACGCCACGGGAGCAAAATATTGCCAGGTTCCTGTAGGACTGCTGTTGTATTCTTCTTTCCTTTCTGTTGATTTGGGAAAGAAGCAAGGGGGGAAAGGGTCATTATTTTGCTTTTGTCGAGTTTCATTAAACAACAGCAAACAAAAACAAGGAGTCAACAATAATCCAGGTATGTTTTCTTGCTCTCCCATGCATGAGAGGAAAAAAAAAACACTTGTCAGTTGCTATGTTGAGGCTTGTTTGAGCTGGAAAATGCCTGAAAAAAATAATAATATTGTTCTTAAAATAAAACAAACATTTCTGCATTACAGCAGCATGTGGTGCTTTTATTGACATCTGTGCCATGGCTTCATTTTTTTTACTGGTGTTTGGAGCTGTCATTAGACAATCAAGCCTTCTTTCACGACGGATTGTCTTCATTATACCAGCGGCAGGAAGCTTGATCAGCTCCTTGGAGGATGAAAATCTGCAGATTTCTAATAAATATAATCAATCACAAGAGCCAAATGTAACAAGCCACAAATGCAGCATTACCAGCGGTAGGTCAAACACCATTATAAACGAGCATTCGTCAATAGCTCTGAATTTTAGAGCAGGACTGAAAGTTGTCAGGAAAGATCCAATACACCTAGTCCTCACCTTACACAACCACAACTGAGACCAGAATTTCCATTGCTAAATAAGGTGGTTGTTAAGTGAGTCGTTCCAATTTTGTGACCTTTTTTGGCACGGTTGCTAAGGGAATCACTGCAGTTGTTAAGTGAACCATGCAAGTAGGTGAACCTGGCTCCCCCCATTGACTGCAGGTTGAAAGCCAACTGGAAAGGTTAAAAATAGTAATCACATGATCCCAGGACTTTGCAATTGTCATAAATGCATGCCAATTGCCAAGTGCTTGACTTTTGATCACGTGACTGTGGGAAAGCTATAATAATCATAACTGTGAGGAATGGTTTTAAGTCACTGTTTCCAGTGCTGTTGCAACTTTGAATGGTTGCTAAATGAATGGTTGTATGTAGAGGACTACCTGTACCAATTCATCACAGCTAGGAAGAGACAGCCAGTTTGGTCTAGTGCTGAAGGTACCTGTCTAGAAACAACCAAGAGACAGTGAGTTCTAGTCCCACTTTAGCCATGAAAGCCAGTTGATTGACTTGGGCCAGTTGCTCTTTTTCAGCCCAACCACCTCATGGGGTTGTTGTTGGGAGGAAAATGGAAAGAGGAAGGAGTTGTCAAGAATGAAACTTTGGCAGCTACATGCCTCTTCATTTCAACTTGCCATTAGAGTAAGGGGAGGGAAGTGTTGCTTTAGAATGGGTTAGATGGAGAAACGAAACTTCTATGATTCTGCTGAAAACCGCGAGAGCCTGAAACCTTTTCAAGGGCACTGCAGCAGGTGTGGAGAGGAAGCAGAGGGTTCCCGTACAAAAGTGAAATTGTATAGTAGTAGTAATAATAATAATAATAATAATAATAATAATAATAATAATAATAATAATAAAGTTGGAAGGGACCTTAGAGGTCATGGACTATGTGAAAGGGTGGGGGTTTGGCTGGAGAAATTATTCTTTAATTCTATGAACTGGTATCTGGGAACCTCAGAGATAGTTTTGCTTCAACATTACCATGCCGTGTATTCAATAAACAATAAGATATTCAGAAACAAAATGAACCTGGAGTTTTATTTGGATTCTCGAGTTGGATGTTGACAGGAGTATTCAATATGTTCACCAGCCTGAGTCATTTATAAAAAATAATAAGATGGGATTTAAAAAAAGTTCCTAAATAAATTTAGATTTCCTGGGCTTCCTCGGTATTATATTCCATGCCAAGAACAGAGGAGTAGAATTGGGCAGGAGCTAAAGTCTTGGACTTGAACAGAGAGATTGATGCTCAAGTCTCCACATAAACATAGATCTCCCTAGATAATTGTTGACCCATCCTTTATCTTAGCTGACCTACCTTTGTTAAGAAACACATATCCCACATATCTCACTCTCAACAGAAAAGGAAGAACATAAAGGTAGTAATGAGTAAATTCAAAATAAACTGAAAAGTGAAAGAAATGTAGTATGGTAGCATCTGGGATCATAAGGCACCATGACCAGAGATTGTGTTATCGCAGTAACAGTTCTTATTTAAGACTACTTAGAAGCTGATGTGGAGAAAAACATTTCTGATCGACTTAACAATTTAGAGGTTGTGTATCTTGTTATGAATGTGTCTAACTATTAAGTAGATGGGAGAAGCTCTCTTAAGAGACTTTCCAAAGTTTGTTGATTTCCACATGAGAAAAAATCCTCTGTGTTCCCCAGAGCCATTGAGAACTGCACTCAACTAATTTTTCCTTTTTAGTCATGACTTACCCGCTTAAAAAATCAGGCCTTTAAAATTCATGATTGTACAACCTCCTTTTTAAATTCTTATTTTTTCCTTCCTCTTTATTAGAGCTGTGCAACCCTTTGGATTCAGTTTCCAAAACACGAATAGAGCATTAGTCTGCGGTGCCCTTTAAAGCAGCTGCATCTTTTACCAAAATCACAGAGCTCCCCACTGCCATTGCTCTATGCTCCAGGGGGAAAAACACAGCTGCTTTAAAATGTTGCAGGCAGATGCTAAATTTGTGCTCTTGGGCACTTCAAAGTACCTTTTAGAGATCAAATCCAGAGTGCTGTTTTCACAATCCCACTTTGTGTAATTTAGTATTTCATTATTTTGTCTCTTTCTTCTTAGCTGCTTGGGGTGCCCAAAAGATGGGAGAGCGAGGTAACTGCTACTTGCATGGGAACCTGGTGACCTGAATAGAACTAAGAAATTTAGAGTGAATTGGTTTCCTAAATGGACTGTATACAGCTGCTCCTGTATCTTTCTCGTGCTGTAGCACTAAGTCCTTAGGGAATGTCATTTAATCTCCTTCTGCCATTCTCGATGCTTTTATAAGAGCAGTCAAGGCACAGCTCTTTTGAATGGGATTTATTTGTTCATTATGTTTAAATACTTATTTTAAATGTTTTGTTTTTGTCTCTTGTATTTTAATTTTTGTTAGCCAATGCTAAAGTGCCCTGAGACTTTAGAATTGAAACAAACAGGCACCTGCCACATAACACTCCAGACTTCACACCTGTTGATAAGAAAGACAAAAGAGTCTGGATAGTGGACGTGGCAATACCGGAAAACAGCAGAATAAAAGAGAAAGGACTGGAGAAGATAACAAAACACAAAGACCTGCAAACAGAAATAGAACGACTGTGGCAAAAAGAAAGCCAAGGTACCACCAATAGTGTAATCCCCCCAAAACTGGAGCACCATCTGAACACTATCGACATTGACAAATTTACCACCCCATCAATTGCAAAAGGCAGCTTACTTGGAACAGTTTACATCCTGAGACAATACCTCTAACACCATGAAACATCAACACGTGCCTATCCCAGGTCTTGGGAAGGACTTGATAGGTAGATAAAAATGCCAAATCCACTCTGAACATCTGGCTGATTATATGATAAACTACAACAACAGTAATAGAAATGATAACAACAGCATGACGAAGTCGCAACAACGGTGTATTCGAAGATTGGCAAGAAATACCATTTGCCTGTAAGCAAAAAGTTGGTGGGATCATAAAATAAAGAAAAGTCATAGAATATGAAGAAGCTAAATTGCTCTAGGACTTTAATTCAAGCAGACAGACACGGAAGTATCTGGAGACAGCAGAAGAGAAGAGAAAGGACTGGAAACAATCACAAAATACAAAGACCTACAAAAAGAAGCAGATTTGTGGCAAAAGCAAGCAAAGGTAGTACCTGAATAGTGGACCCCCCCAAAAAGGAATCTGCAAGGCTTTGAAGGCCATAAAAGATAATCTTTATTGAATACACATCTCGGAACTGAAGAAGCAAAACCTGCTCCGGTTTTTCCGTGCAAAAATCTACCTAATTAAACAATAGCTTCCCTTAACCTTCACCCACTGGATGTTCACATTACCCAATTATAGCTCTAAGGTTTGTTATGAGAACAGTCCACTTCTCCATCAGACACATGTGTTAGTGACCTTGGCATTCTTGCATGCTCTCACAGTCTGTGAACGGCTTTATAGAATCCCATTTTCTCCTTACACTTTCTACCCCTCTCCCCTGTTTCTCTGACAAGTTGAGTACCAATAGAAGTTAGCAGGCATCTTAGTGATTCAACCTTGACAGTACCAATAGTAATCCCAAAATAACTGGAGTACCACTTGAACACCATCAGCATTGACAAAAACACCATTAGTCAATTACAAACAGCAGCTTTACTTGGAACAGCTTACATCCTGCAACAGCTTACATCCTGCATATCTTTAATCCCTCAGACATCAACATCTGTCTATTCCAGGTCTTTGGGAAGGATTTGATACGTGGATAAAAATGCCAAATCTATTGTGAAAATCTGGATGGCTATGTGACAAATTTGAGTTGCCGCTATTATGGGCAGGGGTGTCCACAGGCAAAGGGGTGTCAAAACAGTCAAGATTGTAGCTATGAGATTACTGTTAGAGGTGGGACTTACAATATGGCGTTAGAAATATCATCTTTATTCAAATTTTATTTAGAAAAAAGTATATAACTGTGAATATGGAATCATTTTTACCAGCAGATGGAGTCAGGTTGTCAATCTTGTATCATTGATCTATAGGATTTATGTGACGTTTATGAATAAAATGTTTGAAACATACATTTAGTGGCCTATTGTGGGCAATCTTATCATCATCTAATTCACATTTAATCAGATTGGCTAGCAATTCTATTAACAAATCATGTTTGTTGAACAGTAGCTAACAAATGTTTACAAGGAACTGAATAACCTGACTCCATAATGTGTAGGAAAAAAAGAAGAAGAAAACAAAATTCACTCACCCACACAAAAAACTAGAAAGACAGATAATAATCCTTTTCATACTTGCTATATATCAAGAGTTTCACTGATAGCAATTCTATTATAAATTAAGCTGTTTAATCTGCCCAGCTTTGGTAGAATTCTGATTCCTGCCTGTGGTATTCCATTATTCTACATGACTACTATCTACAT